AAATTAGAAGATCTAACGTTACAACATTGTATTACATAGCTAAGCAAAGCAGCCGCAAATAAAATGAAACTTCTCGTAGACACAATACAATATGATCACTTAACATGTGGATAGAATACCTACAGTATACCAAGAGACAGTCATCGATAAACCTGTCCAGTTCGATATAGGGCTAACTGAGTGCGGTGCGGTGCCGCCATTACTGTATAAAAGCCCTGAAACATCGGTCAGGTAGTTCCGATCGGGATGTTTTAATTAAGCCAATGGAGGGAGGCGGTGCGTTGCGCCCTGTGTGCCACTTACAAATGGATTAGTCTGGGAAACGTTCGATTTACTCAGCCGCAAACCAGCTCACCGTCAGATAGGTTATGCTGGGTTGTAACGAGTTCAATACACTATTTAAGTTTGTCGCATCGTTAAATTAATATATTATAAATACAATATGAATAATTCTTAATTATTACTTACTTAATTATTCATAATTTTAAATACTCGGATGCACCTATTTCTAGGTGCATAAACGATATTTTTATTTATAAACTAGCTGTTCTCCGCGACATCGCCAGCGTGTAATTTAGGGTTTTAATTATGTTGCGCGGAACCCTAATTCTTTTTCTAAAATACAGGTAGCCTAAGTTAATCCTTATAACATCAGCTATCTTCCAGCGCAAGTCCCGTCGAAATCGGTTCAGCCGTTTCGGAGATTAGCCGGAACAAACAGACAGAAAGACAGAAAAACATTTTAAAAATTGTGTTTTTGTTATAAGTGCCGTATATATTTTCATATGAATTTAGTAAAAAACTGTTATTTTGACATTACAAACAGACACTTCAATTTTCTTTATTTGTATAGATAATTAGTCCACCTTTTTTTTACGTTGAAGAGCCATGCTGCAGCTATATTAAGGTTGTAGCACGAATACGTCGGCTCGAACAAGGATGGACCACGCACAGAATACCAGAGTAAAATAGCAGCTCAATGCGGACGTGTTCCGTATGGTGAGTGTAGAGAACCGTAGACCATTTTTACTGGAAAAGAGGCATTCTACAACGCATCTGCGTTTTGATTCGCAAACGAGGATAGATGTAGATTTCTATGGCCCACAGCATTCACTGATCATCAGCTGGACTTTGTGTTCGTTTGTCACCCATATTCTATAAAAAACAGCTAATGTAATATACTCACGTTACGTTATTTTCACTAAATAATGCGTGAATTGATCCTATTCAGCCGAAGCCGGGGTAGGTTGCTAGCCTAGCATATTGAAATGTCTGTCGAACAAAAATCGAAAAATTAAGGGGTTATTTGAATGCCATAAAGACAAGTAAATATTTAATTTAATTTTACCTGTCCGTATGTCCGGGCTAATCTTTGGAATGGCTGAACCGATTTTAACGAAACTTCACGATAAAATAGAGAACAATGATATATATTTTAACCGAAAAAATTTGCGATTTTTTCGTAAAATCGAATGAATGATAAAATAAATGGTCTTTCATGATTATCCCAGATCTAAATAATACCATAATAAAAGACCCCACCTAAACAAAGCTGAGACGAGTCGCTACTTCAAATATAAAATTAAATTGAGATAATGTATTCGTGAGCCGTGGTAGCTCAGATGGTTAGCGCTCGCTGTAAGCTTCACAGTACTCGAGCAACCCGGGTTCAATCCCCGCCGGCACCAATGAAATTGTTAATTGCAATTTTAAGTGCTGATTTACCACGTGCTCGGCGGTGTAGGAAAACATCGTGAGGAAACCTGCATGTCTGAGAAATAAAAAAAAAGAATATTTCGAAGACATGTGAAGTTCGCCAACACGCATTGGGGCAGCGCGGCGGACATTTCCTTGCCCTAAACCCTCTCAGAAATGAGAGGAGGCCTGTGCCCAGCAGTTTGACGTAAATAGGCTGCAACTTTACTTTACTTTAATGTATTCGTAATACGAATAATAAAATATTACATTCGTATTACTAAACTCTAATCGTAAGATATTATGTGTGAATTAGATAATCATTGATCATAATCATAATCATTCATCCGTATGTTAAATGCTATTTATGGACAGTGTATAGAGTAGTTAATTCAAATCTAACGCATTGAACATGAACCTGGCATTAACCTACGCAAGCTCTCACTATTCAATTGTATGTAATTGGTTACAATAGCGGTAATTTCGATATGTATTATTGAATTAATTAAGGTGATTCATATGTAACGCGTGCATAAAATGTATTACAGTTAGACAATAGTTTGTTTGTGTGTAGCGATTACGAAACATGCGAGGGGAGGACACGTAACACTGGAGGGGGTGTCTAGCAGTATCAATTAAGCGTAGAGGTTTGCGACAAAATCTCTATTATATATAAATGCTAGCCGCCATTACCAAATTTTGGTCATGGCAAGCCAGCCTCAACGGAAACGGACACCAGCCTCTGGGCAGCACATAATTATAGAGCACGAGTGTGTGCGGCATACACAGGTGCATCGCTTTTCTCTCACTCTCATAGTTTGTAGTCTCAATGTTTGTCTCAATGTTTGTGTTATAGTTAGTATATTAAGACAGCGGCACACTTAAAGGGCTAATCAATTGATATGTGAAGAAGAAGACAAAATCAATGATAAGGTTCTATATAATATAAACAAAACGTCCGTATGGTAAATTGTTAAATTAATTTCCAGACTAGAGTGGTGCAGACCAGTGAACCAAAGTATCGAAAGGGGGCACTCGGACGTGAGTTGCAAGTCGAGTAGAAGTATCAACAATACAATTTTTTGACGGCTCCGTGACGCAGTGGCTTAGCAACGAATTGCACCGCTGAGGGCTGCGGGTTAGAATACCGCACGGAACTAGTATTTATAGGGCCTACAAATAATTGTTCCGGGTCTAGATGTTTGTCCTTGTGCAATTTATGTTTAAAAACTGCCTACACGATACAGGAGAAGATCTTAGTGTAACAACAACACTACGTAAGAAACGAACAATACGTAAGAAAATATCACTATTTTCACTTATATTAAAAACCGAGGATATTCTATTAAGTGTTAGGTGCTAAAACTAAAAAAAAAACATGCATGAGTGTATTGGAACACTCGGTTGGAACGAAGTTCCTTTCGTAGTATATTATTATTGATAAACGTATTATATTATTGATTAACAAATACAAATAAATGAATTACTAGCGTCTATTAAAATGAAGCGTCATTTAAAATAAAATAATATTTCTTTCATGGCAAGATAAGAAAAAGTGCGACGGAGATGGATATTATTCCATCTCGCTAAGGGGTCGTGAAGGAAAAATCTTACACTTTTTCTCGCTTAACCCCCATCAGCCAAATTCGTACCGTCGTACAGTTAATAAAGAGCTTCGTTTAAAAATTGTACATTAATGTCATCGGTCTATTTTATAATACTTTTAAAGATGAATGGCAATAGGCAAGTTAACACATGTCATTTAAAATATTTTTATGAATTGTTACATCGAAATTATTCCACAGAAAATATATAGAGATAACTATTTCTAACAATGTTTTTCTTTTCCTCCAATAGGCCCATCAAAGTTCTGGATGTCTTTTATATTATAACAGTAACGAAGAAGCTTGCGATACACTTGACGACTGGTGGCCACTGAAGCATATAAACACCCGTATCCAACTCTAAACAAAGAAGTCTGTAGATATGCCTTATAACCCGTAATTATGCGGGCGCTTTATATCATTATTCATTCCATTAAACACTTTCAATCCGTTCCAATACTTCGGCCGTCGATCCCTCTTATCAATACGCAGTTTTTAATTAAACATTGTGTCGACATTCTTCATCTATACAGAGTTATTTTGCAATATACACCCTTTGCAGGGAAGGTTCGGAATAAGTAATATAGGCGAATGGTGAAAAAGAAAATTATTAAAAAAATCTCAAAAATTAGTTCTTTTTATCTTTTAAATTCGGAATTCGTGGTAATAGCTGAATGTCATTCAAATATCTAACGCGTACTGATTTAATACGCACGCACACATTTGAATGGGTCGCTCAGTCGACAAAAACATTGTGAATTGAATCGCACAAATTCACAAAAACACATTCAATTTGGGATAACTTCAAATAAAAGTAGAAGCCTTATTTACTCGTATTTTCAAAAACTGCAATAACCATATACCATTATTTATATATTTGAACTTAAATATAAAATATGGATACTCTTTGAAAAATAACCCTGTAGTGTTGTCAACAACATTAATAGTCCGTTAATAAAAAACCTAAAATTAAAATGAATACTGTCATATCATTCGATACTAAAGAAATACTATACGAGATCTAAAATACTCTGTCTAGGATAAGTGCAGTATACTCGGCACTGTGATGTCAATTCAACTTTCATGCATGGTCAACGAGCTTTTAGGCTAAAAACGAAGGTTTTTGACGGAGGAGCTTTCTCCACTCTTCTTCTTGATAACTGGCTTTACGGCTCTGGGATCTAGCCCTTCTGAGCCTGAAGTTACAATATACAATTATTCTTCATAGTATACTGCTTAAAAATATGTTGATGCGTCACATTGTGCAGCCCTTGGGAGATTTTGACGGTAACTTGAGCCAGCAGACAGCTGACGGTTGGCGATGGTATCTCAAGGCGCCTAAGCAGACAGGCACCTTATTTTGAGAATCACATCACTATCAGAGCACTTGTTTCACAGTTTCCAATAATAGTTCACATGCGCAGATACTTAATACACAAAAACGCACCACTTTTACATATCAAAGTCCACTTCAAACCATAATTTAAACAATAAAACAGGAGCAACAAACCGCCGCCGGTCAAGTTCCCGCCAAAACTCCGAGCTTTCTCCAGTGTAGGAATCAGGGGACTGGTTTCACGGTATCCGCCGCTACGCTTGACGGTACGAAGTATCTTGTATCACGTTATCTACTCTATAGTTTTAGCACTTTAGAAGTATAGAAATTTTACTGCAGTTTGCAAGACAAACTGTGCACCTTACCTGTTATGTGCTCTGAAGGAGAGACGCAGCGGCTGCGGGGATGGCGGAGACGGCGTGTGCTGCGGTAGCGAGCGACGCCGTCGGGCCGGCGTCAACGGCTCGTAGTCCACCGGCTGCCAGTGCCGCACGAACGGCGTCAACGACACCCCTGGAACGAAGCAATAGTTGGCTATGACAAAAATAATGCTTTATTTGGGGGTTTGCTATATGGCAGTAGTTACTCTGCGTGGTAGAAATCGTAACGAAGACCGTAACGTAACCGATAGTGGCAATGAACTGGTTATATAGCTCGAAGAACCGATAAACGATGGCGAAGAAAGGTTATCGGGTACCGGTAAGCGATATGTATGGCGGCCATCCACTAGATAGAGTGACGACCAGATAATATATGTAGGATATTCAGTTAGGTAAACGATCATTTTTTATATGTGTGTAATATTACTTACACTACGACATACATATAAATTCTTTATATGTATGTCGTAGTGTAAGAACTAGAACGAACTGCGTCATTTCGGTTTGGCACATTTTAAATGCATTAGAATAATTACTTTGGAAAATAATAAAAATTTCATTTTCATATTCTTGCACATATTTTTTTTAATTGTTTGATAATATTTTCATTTTTGCAAATTCAAATTAAATATTATAACTATGAAAATATTGCATAACACTTTCAAATAATTTTTATATTAACCTTTACTTAATATTCTATTATTTTATTTCCACTCAAACTTTCTCATCTTCATCGAAATTGAAGTGGCAAGCGATTTTATAATCGAGTTGATGGTAAGTAGGTACTGCAGTCCATGAACACTTACAACCAACATCAACCAAAGAAAGCTACAGATCCGTTGTCATCTCTAAGGATTGAAATGCAATGCTTCACCTGTAACTTACTACTTACTACTAACTTCACTTCACTACCAACTACTAAGTACTAACTTCAATCTCAACCAAACCCATACAGAGAGCTATGTAACCTTCAGACTGGAAAACAGCACCAGTTCCACCACCTACCATCATGTTAAGTAATACTTTATTCTACTACATTACACTATTTCAGACGTTACTATATTTCAGAACATTTCAGATAATTATTTTATACCATGAATGAATGGTTTTGTACGTGGTAGAGCCACGCTGCAGCTATGTCATGGTTGTAGCACGAATAGATCGGCTTAACTTGGGTAGCACGGGTAGGACCAAGACCTCACTGAATACCAGCGTAAAATAGCAGCTTAAAGTTGCTGTGTTTCGTATTGTGAGTGTAGAGAACCGGAGACTCATTTTGCTGGAAACGAGACATTCCATCTTAGACCTCAGCGGTGACAACGCATCTGCATTTTGATACTATGGGCCGCAGCTTCCACTTACCATCAGGTAGGCTGTGTCCTCGTTTGTGACCCTTATTCTATAAAAAAAGTAAAAACGAACTAATAGTCCAATTAATTGTATGTGGCTAGTGTAGTCCACCGACTCGTACATAGATTAAATACTCGTAACAAGAAACAAAACACCAAACACAAAATCCAAAACAAAAAAGAATCAATAAGAAAATGGGTTTTTGTCACTTCTGAGAGAGCTAGAATATGGAATGCCGTACAGTCGGTAAATAATTCAAACCGAAACACAAAATTCAATGTATTGTTGCTAAGTTTTTTTTTATAACACTGAAGCGACAAACGAACATTAGTCCACCTGATGGTAAGCATCGCCAAGAATACTAATAGAATATTACCCAGACGGAATTCTAGATAGAAAATAATTCTAAGCACTATAAAAATCACTTCATTTCCTTTATCGGTTACTAGTTCAGTTGGAAACTGGATCGCTAAGTTGCGATGGCGAATCACAATATATTGCACGTATTTGTTACGCCTGCGATGCATAACGACTCATTAAACTCGAAACCTGTAATATACTGCGACAATTAATGGGGCTTCTTGTATTACTCCATATTTTCTCAGCTGACTGTACCTATGTTCGGATAACATTAGCACATTTGAACTCTGTACATTAATAAAATAACATTAATACCGTGTTTACTTTGCACGTAAACTAGATATAAATATGAAACTCTTCTAATTTTAAATGATATCAATTAAACTTGCAACGAATATTCGGCTTTTATCCGGTATTTGGCCTATTCAGCTAATTTTTATCCTATTCGGCGGAATACCGAACACTTAAATAAGAGGTTTTATTGTAGTTAATTGGTAAAATGAAAATATTTATTTATTTTATAATTAATTTTGTTTCTTGTAATCATTAAAATAGTGATAGATTTAAAGGTCGGCAACGCATCTGCAATTCCCCTGGTGTTGCAGTTGTTCATGGGCGGCGGTAGTCACTTACCATCAGGTGAGCCGCATGCTCGTTTGCGGCTCCTATAAAAAAGGTAGCTATCAGATAAATGTCGTGCAGAAAGACTAATTTTTCTTCATTTTCAGGCAGTAGATAATTTACTCCTTTTGTTCTCGTTGACAATCCAAGCTTCAGAGAATAGACGCTCTAAAGAATAAACACTACTACTTTTCCGACCGAACACTTTTGCCTAATATTCGGCTATTCGGCCAGAAAGTCCGCACAATAATCGTTATTTGGCGTGTGGCCGAATTGCACGCCGCAAGCGCAACGCGCGTAGGTATGTTCTACTAGCGCCTAAAAATCAAGATTCCAACGTTTTGTCGCATGATATCGTATCTAGCAATAATATTATACATATAAATGATATAAAAAGCACATTGTTATAAAGATAAATGATTGTTGAACTTATTAATATTTTTTTAATCGATTAATTGCTATTTTTACATAAAAAAGGGGTTTTAGTGGCTTATGGTGTGGATTTATCAAGTCCGTATGGCTTCGTAAACACGATAACTTTTGAAAACATCAATTGTTCAACTCAATCTGTTTTTAAAACACTTTATGTATCATGTGGAAGCCATTGAATATAAATGGCAGTTTAATTTTGTTTTGTTTAATTATGATTCATTTTTTTCAGCTGCTAAATATCGAAAATTCGAAAAACAAATTTCATACATACTTGATTATTATAATAATCAGAGATTATTATTATAAAATTTTAAAAGCACAGAATAAATAATTGTAGTACGTACTAAAAGTAAGTATGATGTAATATTTATACTTAAATACGACTTGGACTTTATGGAGTGACATGAATGATGATCATATGAGCATTATGAGTCGTGCACTTTTGGATTTTCCAAACTTTTTTTAAATGGAAGTTTGACATAAAATTATCGAAAAATTGGAAGTATAATAAGGTTATTAGTGAAAACTTGTGTATATTTAAACTACTTTTAAAAAATCCGTATAATCATGTTATACGTAATTTTTTTAATGCGATTAGGGCATGCTCAATTGGATTTACCAATAGTTTTTACTATTCGTTGCAAGTCTATTCAATTAATGTAAGTACACTAACTAAATTATCGATATCGATCAGCCAATAAAAGGGTACTGATAAAAGATTCAGTTTACTTTACCTGACTTATGGTTATCTCAGCGAAATTATTCGAATAACAAATTATAATTTTTTCTAACCATTAAATATACGCAGGATATAAAATATCCAAGAACTGATGCATGACATTCTATTTGGAAGTCGCCAACTGTCAGGACATGTTTATCGATCGGCGAGTATATGCATATAAAAAGGGAGAGGGACCCAAAGTCCTAGGTTTGTCATTATCCGTTTGTGCAATATGAACTGGGGTAATGTTAACAAATAAATTATCACTAAAATGAAAATAAAACCGGCTGCAGCGATCTAATTAATATAAAACATATTATTCAAAATACTACATAATATTTATAACATAGAATACTACTACAGTATTATATGATTTATAACGTGGTAAACGTAAAAAAAACGATAGGTATTATTCGATTTTTGAAAATCATTATAATTGAATAGATTCAAAACACTTCTAATTCTATGACGAATCTAAGACAAAAGAAGCAGACGGTGATATTAGTCAACAGAGTACCAGATACCTATTGAGTATTACAAAAGTTATATTTTCAATTTGAAGTTCGATGTCAGTTGTGAACATCTCCACAAACAAATACAGGCAAGGCTGCAAAGTTTGACACCGACACGGATATGTTTTGCTTGCGGAGCGCATAACACCTGACACATCGACTATCGACAGGAATCCCACATATAGATACATATATTGTTACTCTTGTTTGTGATAAATAAGTTCTGTTCAGTAAAATGAAACATTGTTTTAAACATTTTTATAGAATAAGGGACAGCACACCAGCACACAGTCTGCTTGCCATTTCTTTTGACGTTTCTTCTCCGATCTGAGGAAGTTCGTTTTGAAACGATACTACCTAAACTAAAAACATTTCAAATATTAAATAAAAATTCAGCGCGCAAACGCAGCCAGCGTTCTTGGCATGATACCGCGGCCGGTAGGACTGTATAATAAAAAAAATCTAGTTAATAGTTTTAGTTTTTTAATATTGTATATTTTTCAATATTAATATTAATTCATAATTTAAATTAAATTAATCACACTCAAGTTACATATGTCAATAAAGATAGCTCAATTTATTTTAAGTACAATCACGACGAAAACACGATGTTAGTATGTGCTTCTCTAGCCACACGCAGTACTCTTATCAAGTTCATCAAAGACTTATTATATTATTTCCAGTTCCTAATATATTTTTGAGCAACTAGAAATCGTGTTATAAGCAAACTATTATGCGAAAAACATAAATAATACGAACGTCAATAAGAATAAGGTGAACTGTAACCGCAAACATTAATCTAGCGTTCATCACAAACTAATTTTCAAGTTGGATGGTTGCATATGAAAGTGTCTTGCATTTTGCGCCGGGTGCAAGTCGCTGAATGTACAACTTGCCCGTGTAGATGTCAAACTTTGTTTGTCTAGTGTACTCATAACTTTATATATCTGTTCACAACTGAGTCAGAGCTGCAAACAGAATAATTCATTTTTATAACATAATATAAATATTTTTATAACATAATATAATATAAATATCTTTATTGTTTTATTGTAAATACTCATTATATTATTTATTATATACATTTACATATATCTACTGCATAAATAAAGTTCATTTCCACTGTTTTATTTTGTTATTTTGATAACATATTTCTCGAACATAGAAATAAAGTGAACACACTATCCTCGCGGGCGAGTCCAACCTCAATGGGCATTGCTGAAATCCTGGGATAGCATTATGTTGAGGCAGTGCCCTTTTCAGCATCACATCACTCATGCAATCGGATCATTTTATTTCTGTTTTTTTCGTATTTACTTTCATCTTTGATGTTTTTATGTATCAATTTATTTTCTGTAACAAAACTGTATGAGTGTAAGTTGCTGAGTAAATGCATGTCTAGGCCTATGTCTATGTCTATGTTATACACATTATAGTAAAGGCAATACAATAAAATTTCAGGAGAAGCAAAACTATTATACACGAAAGTGCAGCAACCAAAGATTATATTTAAAATAATATAGTATTAACAATCATCATCATCATCATAATTACAATCTTTCATAAGTCCACTGCTGAACATAGGCCTCCCTTAAAGAACGTCCCACAAAACAAGGTTCTGAGCCACCTGCTTCCGTCGACTTTCTGCATGTCTTACTAGGTCGTCACTAGCGAACGATCAATCGAAAGGCGACAACGCTCTCTTGAAGAATTACAGACCGATTTCCCTTCTCAGCCGCGTCTACGTGCTTTTTCGAGTCATTAAGAATCGTCTCGCACGCAGACTCGACGACTTCCAGCCTCCCGAACAAGCCGGTTACCGAAAAGGCTTTAGCACCATAGACCACATACATACCCTTCGGCAAATTTTACAGAAGGCCGAGGAGTACAATTTGCCACTATGTCTTGCGTATGTAGACTATGAGATCTCTTCAGTAGTGCTAAGTTGACTGTCGGTATTTTGTAGGTAAGTGTTGAAGTGTTTGTACAGTAGGGCTACGATAGCTGTCTGA